GCTTGGCCCTTTAATCAACGTTAACATGAGACCTCGAGACTGCCTCCAAACACTAATTGGGTTTATCGATTACGAAATTCTCAAACTAAAGCCCACCGACATATCTGTAATAATTGTACCTGATATTAGGCAAACAGGATTCATAAATGGTGTAATGTAGACGTGCTAGGAGGGCATTTCTGATTAGATACCTCTTCAAGAAGTTACAGAACCATTCAGTACGTATATATAAGAATTCGGATCAAAATCTGATGGTGTTCAATTTATGTCCGCTATTGAGGAATATTTGGCACCCGCGGTATCCACATACAATTCACGTAGTTTAGGGCGTGCGTTACAAGCTACAAGTACATAAATAACGGTTTACTTTCTGTTTTCCTCCATGTTCAAATGTAGCCGTAAATTCCGATTATTACATCTACAAATGTTTGTTCTATTATGTTTACGTCCGATTCTCATTACCATTGCCCTAGATCACCGCTTCAAATAGTCATGCCGAGTTTATCTGTTTTAAATGCAGAAATAGTTCAATGCAATTCAGATTAGCATTGATGATAACAATTGAGACACTTCTGGCACTTTAATTAAATCTATGACAGTTGCAGAATTTATATTCTCGTAAATATTATTCTTGTTGAGTTACCAGTTGTCTACTTATAGCTTTGATTATATGCTTCAGAAGTTCTACTGGGATAATAATATGCGCTTGCAATCACAAACCACTTCCAGATGTCCAACATAGGCCTCTCCCTGTATACGAGAGTCACTTAGCTAATCTAATCTGAAGCACCATTCAAATGAAATCAACGATGTTAGATAAATGCGCCGATAGATCGATGCCAGCGATTTTGCAAACGGTGTGAGCAAACAAAATAGGGTGTTCTTCCAACCAAACGGATATACAAGTGTGATACAAACACACAAATTGTACAGAAAGAATTTAAAACTAGATAATTGCTATGAGTAATGACCAGTCAGTACAATGACCAACAGTTAATTTCTCTAACTAAAAACTAAACCGTCGGCGTCGGTCCTAATATCTTCAATTTACTCATAATGGCCGCCCCTCATTAGCCTAGCTAACGCGGCGCGAAGCAAGCGCATCGTTATGGTGGATAGTCACACACGCACATCGGTGTAATGATGCGATTTTGATTCAGTGGCATGCGTTGAATACGACATTTTTAATTGCATTCATTAATGGCTTGTAATCTGAAATGAAGAAATACATAGCTCTGTGGCATAAAAATGCTTTTAAGACCATCTTTCTAATTTCCGGCCATGTATCGGTTATTGCATGGTTTCAAGATGGTATTAATTCCTGACCGACATAATCTAGGAAGTTGTTTTAATGTTTAAAATAGCGATAATTTGCATTGTCTTGATAAGTAATTTGTACTACTGACCTTCATAAAAATATCTATCATACAAAACGGTATCTGATTTATTATATCAAAATCATTTTATGAGCTCATCGCTTTCTTACGTAGGTACACTCATAGGTCTTATCTTATAGAAGGTAATTCGGGGTCATATTCGTCATTCGATAATTGGGGCTCAGTTTAAATTTAACCTTTTGGGGTGAGCCTGCAACCCACTTTCCAGACTAGACAATATTGGACTTCTCAGGTGATATTTGTTGTTCACCTAACTATTGACAAATGGGCAAGCAAATTGATTCACATCAGTGTTCAGGCACGTGCATGCCCAGTGAAATCATGCGTCAAATTATGCAACGCTCAGTGAAAACAGCACGCATGCCGCATACCGAGCGTTTGTGGGTTAGATTTGTGACAGTATTCCCTGTGGCACACTGGCCAAAAGTCGTCGGATAGGTAGGCCAAACTTGAATTAAATTATGTTAATTTAGATTTGAGCAATAGTTTTAAACTTAACTGGTATAGGCAGAAGGTATCGGTCAAGCCTCTTTAGTACAATGATTAATAGTTATTTAGATTAGTTTGACTTACTTTCTTCACACGTAGATGCAAAACCTACATCTTCATACAAGATTTGATAATATCAATAAAACATGCCAAGACGCAAATTGTGACAAGTGTTGAAATGCTCATTGTTAATTCACGTTTCAATAATCAGTTACATCATGTAACTGTTTCAAAATATGTAAAATAGCCACATAATTACCTTACTACGACAAAACTTGGTATTTCGCGCCATTTTTTAGATCACATTAGTGTTCATAAAATAGAGTGTTTAGTAATAGTCTCGTGACTGCTTAACAATAAACTTCTTCATACACGACAATGTGTTTCTAATCTCACTTCGTATTCGTACACTGCACACTTTCATTTAATTTTGTTTTTATTTTCACTACCAAGTATATTGAATGAACTTGGCCCCATTTTCGGTCATTATTTTCTTTCTAACTTAATGAGTTCAACAAACTTTCTTAACTCACGTAGTTAGTAATTAAAATCACAAATTAGCTTCGTATATAAGATTAGAAGGTTACAAAACTGGCTGGAATATCTATTTTTAACTGTTTAAGCAATTTATTTCAACAGTATGTTATGACCTACCTTGATGAGATTACGTTTTCGAGAGCCTCTGTTGGACAACCAAATATTGAATATTTTATTTTGTTATACATATTTAAAGCTGTCGTTCGTGACATGGCCTTTTCATCTAATCGAAGGTCCAGACAAATCGATGTTAAGATTTATTGATAGTAATTTGTCTATATGCAGAATTGATTCAAGTTACAGCATTTAATGATATAATTAAGTCACACCTTTAAAACCACTTCCACTAAGATTTTATCATGAGGAACCGGATCCTTTGGATAAAAAATCTTTTAAGATGTCCTTTAAAGGAATGTACCTACTTATTCAATTAAAAAATAAGGAAACGAAAGGATTTCGCATCACGTACTATTTATCAGACGTGGTTTGTCACTTGAATCATAAATTACTTTTACCTTTTTTGCAAACAAAATGCCACTTTTTTCGCTGTATTTAAATTAATTGCAGTCATAATAGCGTACACATAGTTTTGTAGCTATTACCATATAAATACTGATGTTATTTCTCTTTGTTATTATTATAATAGTCACCTTCACCTTTGTAGTGATAAGTTATATTATGACGTCATGTAACTACTAATGCTTGTCAATTATGAGTAAGTTGGAGTTTATTGTGTACGCAAATGGTTTTAATTCAACGTCCCGAATCCTCATAAATTATGCTGAAGGGCTACACATTTTCTCCTATATTTGGACTATAGCTGTTGCTAATCTTGTGCAAATAGGTGATTAACGAATGGTTGCAGTGGCAATCTTCTAAAGCGGCGATTAGATGCAGTTTTGTTGGCGTATGTTGTGCTATTTTGTTTCCAGTTTGCATTAGGCATTCATGTTCTGAAAGGTATATTTCACACACAGCCTTCAAAATAATATCTGTAGTTGCCACTGGACTGTACCAGTTTATTAGATACTGGACAAGATTTCAGATATCGGACAGCCAGTTTCTGAAAGTCGACCCTTTTTATTAATCGACTTCAAAAAGAGAAGGACGTTCTTAATTTGGTCTATGTATGTATGTATATTTGTGCTTGATTGTCTCGCAATTGGCTGAACCGATTTTGATGAGGTTTTCAGAAAAGTGTTTGTTACACTTAGAAGGTTTTAGTATATTAAACTGTCAAACACCAAGCGGTCACCGGTGACCGCAACCTATTGTTCTATAATAGGCGCGGAGAACCTAACGGGTAACCGGGGCTCCGGCTCGACGTGCAGGAGAAGGAACGGGGTGGTTTTTAGTCAGTAAGAGTCTGACACTCCCTCCCGCCTCACCCAGGCGGGAGCAGTCATTCGATGATTTTCCACTCTTAAAAAAAAAAATTGTTCTATAATTGTGCCTATAATGACGGTACTCGACGAGTTAATTAACGGACTTAAAAAAAGAGAGGATCTAAGTGGGTTTTTTGAAACGTAGTTTATAACAGAATAGAATTATCTAGTTTACCTTTATTGGGAAACCTGTTCACTTTAATTTCAGGTCTGAAGCAAACTTGAGTGCGTTCATTTTCAAGGTGACATTTACCATTAACAATATTTTAAAATAAATTAGTTACGCAGCTAAATCAATATGAAGACATCATAATACCAAGTGCTGCGTTGAAATTGTAAATCGCAATTAGGTATTTCAGAAGTAATGTACCAAATCTTAACGGATCTCCGCCTCATAAAAAACCGACGTGAAGCAACGCTTGCGTTGTGTTTCGTCGTGTGAGTGAGGTTACCGGAGGCCCAATTACCCTCCCCTTCCCCAATCTCCCCAATCCCTGAATCCCCAATGATCCTCAAACTCCTTATTCCCAAAAGGCCGTTAACGCACTTGTAACGCCTCTGGTGTTCCAGGTATCCATGGGCGACGCCGATTGCTTACCATCAGGTGATCCGTCTGCTCGTTTACAGGCTTATGCCATAAAAAATGTCCTCAGGGAAGTGATCGGCGATGGCGACCTCTCGCGTCCGGGCCTAGTGCAGGCCATGATGCGGAGCGAGGGGGATTGGGATGCCGTCTCCTCCTTTTGCGAAGCAGTCATGCTAGCTAAGGAGGAGGCGGGACGCGTGAGGCAGCGAAGCGCTGCCTCCTCGCAACCCAGCCATCGCGAAGGACACACCGGGCGTCGGGGATCGCGGGACGATCTCCGGCCACCGTAAGCGCGGGCCTGCGGACGGCGAGCATGGGTGGCTCCCCGTCCGACCAGAAACAGACCCGAGCGTACGGCGCGTCGCGTTCCGCGCGCGCCTCAAAGAGCCATCAGACCACCACAGAACCGGTGACCGCAACCTATTGTTCTATAATAGGCGCGGAGAACCTAACGGGTAACCGGGGCTCCGGCTCGACGTGCAGGAGAAGGAACGGGGTGGTTTTTAGTCAGTAAGAGTCTGACACTCCCTCCCGCCTCACCCAGGCGGGAGCAGGCATTCGATGATTTTCCCCCCTTAAAAAAAAAAAAAAAAAATGCCATAAAAAAAACCTCGTAGCGTGCGCACAGATTACACCTAGATTGCTTACTGATAGCAAAATAGTTATTGTAATCGATGTGCTACCGTAGATATTAAGCAGAGATAACCGACATCCTAATCTACGGAATGACGTGCTTCCTGCAGACAAATCGAGCGACGAGTTTGGTTATGAGTTACGGGTCGATAATGTTTCATGGAACTTCGGTTAACAACATTGTCACGAAACACAGATAGAACATTACAAAAGCTTCACTCCTGAAAATATTTTGAATTTATTATTGTACTGGGAAGTATGTTGACGTTCTCTGAGCGATAATAGAGCACGATTTGTATGATGGAATAAGGACAATCCTGTGGCATAATAATAATAATTTACTAAGTTTCTGAAGCGATAAATATCGTTTTTTTTAATATTTTTCCAATAACGGCTATTGGTTTTACCAAGCCCATTTTTTTGTTCACAATCTGTGAGCGATTGTATCGAGATCCTCTATTTGGTGGCCAATCGGCGTATATTTGCAGTACTATGACGTCAGGCTGCGTTGTAGGTCAGCCATGATTGGAAAGCCACACACCTTGGCCAATGGTTCCAATTAGTAGATACCTACTAAGGTTATCTAATGGCCCTTAAAACAAATTGCTGGCCTTATCTGTTTGTTTTTCTAACTTTGCTTTGACCTCATGTTAGTAGGTTTGTTAAACTTAATTTTTTTCTAAAGGTGAGGTAAAAGAAAACCCATTTGAGCAATCTACAAGTCGATTAAAACATTTATTGGAATGACATTTTTAAAATTTCAAACATTTGCTGTTTTAGTACACAAATACGCTTTTACATAAAACAAAGTTCATCATTAGAATCACCAAACACCATGCAACACTAACTGTATGAAAATATCGAATATAAAAAGTCTTAAATTAACTAAGTAGGTAGTTCAAATGGTTAAAATTCTTATGTTAGGCAGTCCTGTATTGTAAGTTTATTTTCTTTTTAATTTTTGGCTGACACAGGGCAAGCACATTGGCAGAGAAAATTGTTGATAATAGAAATAGAAGAAAAAGAAAAGGAAATGTACACAGGAATATGCAGAGATAAGTAGAGGAAACAGGTAAGGCAAGTGCGGAGGAGGCTTCACAAACACTGTACCCACAGTTAACAACACCATACCAACCACAGATATTACAAAAATAAGACTCAAAAAGGTTAACATGTGGGATGAATCCTTCTTATTTGGATACACAATCTTATTCACTTTGTTAGCATTGAAAATTGAGAAATACCCAGAATTGGGCTGCGATAACTTCAAACAAATGCTATAGAAGGATGTATAGATTACAGTAGTTGCAATAAACGGTAAAAGAAGACCATCTTTGAGTAATAAGGGAAGCATACTAAATGTAGAGACTAGTAGGAACCAGAAACACATGAACGGGTCCTCGGGGAAATATAACGCTACTGGTATAGCAGCTAACAAAATAGATTTTTCGTGAACTTGGAATGAGAATAAGAAGAATGCAAGGGACACATTGATCAAACAGGGAACAAACTTCCTTATGTTTATCCTGAAGAATAAGTCAGCACAAGCTGGACCCGCAGCCATAGCCGTGATCAGTAGGCAGGTCTTTGCCATCTCTTGGTTACTATAAATAGTCTTCAACTTGATAAAGACATTCACCATACACCATACATTGGACACTTTATCTTCGAAAATACCTCTATCCAATGGGAACAGCCTGTGTATAAGCTGAAAAATATGATCCCAACCCTTTAGGAATGGATACCAAACTATTACAAAGGTAGCGATCACTGCCACAGCAAGCTTATTGAAGCAGCGGACGAAGTGAGACAGCTTGCCCCTACCCAGTGGCATACCTATAAAACATTTCCTTAACAAATAGAAGAAAAATGGCAGAGCATGGTATAATTCCATCTGCTTGTAATTCAGAGCAAAAACAAAAAATATTGTAGCTAAAGTATCATTCTTAATTGCTATTATAAAGAATGTTGCCCACAAAAAGAAGCCAAGAGAAACACAATTGTACTGGAAGTGACCGTAGTCAATCAATATTATGCCAGGGTACAGTAGAAATAATGTGGTTGATATGTCCGTTCTTTTCAGGACACACTTTGGCTCTTTAGGTTCTTTACCAAGCACTCTTTCAGCATCAATACATATGCACAGCACTGCAGTCACATACAAATAAATGTCACTAAGAAAAACAGTCCATCTCATGAAGGTTTTATGGGTATCGCTTTCGTAACCCCTCGACGCAAAGAGACGCACTGATTCTGGTTCCAGCCAGTCCGCCACCAGCCCCATGAGCAAACTGTGATATGCCGTCAGTGGTGGATAGTCCAACCCCCAGTACTGCAGATCATTCTGCGTCGTATTATGATACCATTTGAGAACGGGAGTATGCACTGTTATTTCTTGCCAATGTCTTTGTGCTTCAAAATCGCCATGCATTGGAGGTTTCTTATATCCAGAATAAGGATAAGCAGCCACGCACCATCTCACAAGCAAGGAGAACAATATACCGGGTAGTAACGCCTGTTTTGTCACGGTAAATTTATCCGGATCGGCTCTTCGCGTCATTGTACTTTAATATGAGGTTATAAATTCAATACTAGCACTTATTTTCATTCAGAAATTACTTAAACTTTACAACGCGGCACAGGAGGTTCGATAAAATTTTTGACAGATTACTTACGACGTGAACGGCGTCCAAATCCTTGGTCAGCTTCTCCTTCAAATATGCCTCGGTATACACCATATTTTTTGATCAAAATCCATTTAACGTGAAACAAAATACCATGCACGGTTCACGAAAATTATTTAACACTTTTTAATGGAATTTGCAACAAACGAAAACAGGTTTGATTCACACAAGTAATGAATTTTTTCGAAAGTGACAAAACGAGAAAGCGCCTCACGAAAGTGAAATTGCGGTCGCCGAACTAACGAATTTCACACCGGACGAGTTCCCATGAGTATTAACCAACAAAATTAGATAATCGCCAACAACTGGTCAAAGTTCGAACAAAATGTGGGTTATAGAATTTCGTTGCTTAACCGTGACCTTGACCACTACTATCCGATATCACTGGATACCATGCATATTACTCATTTTATTTTCGATTATCTCACTAATACTATAAATCTCAATTTTAGTGAAAATAATTAACTAATTTGTTAAATACTTCAGTTTCATGAATAATCATCAATTTCATCAATTACAAAATAACACAAAAAGAGATTTACGTATTTTTAAATTTGGTACTCATACAGTGTTGTTAACGAGAATATCTGTAGAAATAACTTTATAGCACTTCATTCACAGCAAGATTTATCGGAGTAAAGTCGCCCACTCATCATCCTACAATTATAAAAAAACTCACTTTATTAAATATTTTAAAAATGTATCGATCTTGTCTTTGGCATACATATTATTTTACCATAAACGCACTAATGGCGGTTAATTCAATCTTTTCAGATTTGTAATATTTTTTTTCATATTTCTTTTAGTAGCTACTTATTAACTAACAATAAATTAGTTTTCAATTTGCTATGAAAATGGAGGGAGAGAGTTCTCCATTAAAAAGAAATTTGACTGAGTGGAGATTTAGCCAATATCCAAAATATATTTTGCTACCAATTGATGAAAATCACGACCAAATTAAATCCAATATAAAGAATGTCGTTTTTTCTGAGGTAGGTAAATACTAACATTTTAGACAATATTGATCAATGACCAAAGCTTCTGGTTTCTAAAATAACGACATTTACGCCCGAATACTGAAAGGCTACTACCTAAATTTTAAGTAGTACTTAAATATCATACCATCTCTGTCATTTCACAAAGAATTTGTAGTGACGGATATACATCCGTACTTCTATATATATATATATATATATATATAAGCACGACTTAAACTTTAGTGACCTTTGGTTGTTTCAACGTTAGTCCTATATGTATGTCCTATATGTATTTCCTATATGTATGTCCTTTAGATATGTCCGTTTTAGATCCTAACTTTCGTAATTTTTTATAAGGTAACTCCTCGACCTCTAGAACGGAACATAAGATTGGTTTGCGCATCACAAGATGCTCTGACCAACATTTTAGACATGGATCCGGATATAGCTAACCGCGAGGAATTCGCGGAATTTATTGCCGGACGTAAACTGCCTTATGGGGCTTTGCCCGTGGCGCACAGGTAGGAGAATATACAATAACTGCTTTTTTTCTGTAGTAGTTTTTTGAGACACATTGCAACGAGGCAGATTGGCGATATTTCAGTGGCATATTCATTTCAGGTATGGTGGTCATCAGTATGGATTATGGGTTGGTCAACTAGGTGATGGTAGAGCTCATATCCTTGGCGAATACGTAAACAGGTAAAAAGGTATAGCATGAGAAGCCCTACCTGATGTTCCGTTTCTGAGCTTCGTATTTTGCAGACGTGGAGAAAGATGGCAGATCCAGTTGAAGGGTTCCGGACAAACTCCATATGCTCGCGTTCATGATGGTCGCGCTGTCCTACGATCTGCTATAAGGGAGATGATTGCCAGTGAAGCTTGTTATTTCCTAGGCATACCTACTACCAGAGCTGTGGGATTAGTAGGTAAGGTGTATTTGAAAATTAAAATGACCATATCTTAGAAGAAGGAAAATATAATCACTTGTCTTTATGTTTAAATATCAATAACAAAGTTACGTTACCTTGACCTTCTAGGTCTTTATAATGTTATACCTAACTACCCATCTACAATCAGGTTCAAAATTCAAATGCATGAAAACGATAATACAAGACTCCCATCAATTTACACCACCAAATCAAGTTGAATGTCCAATGCTAAAAATAATTATTTCCGGAGGCTGAAAAATTGGAAGTTGTGAAATTCCGACACAAAGCTTCAATTACAGTGAGCGACGAGGCAATAGTCAGGGACGTGTATTACAACGGATGTCCACGGCGAGAACGAGCGGCTGTCGTACTGCGCTTGTCTCCGAATTGGTTCCGCTTCGGTTCCTTGGAGATTTTGTCGAGAACTGGCGAGATAGCTGTACTTAGGCAACTCTCAGACTTTATAATAAAGGTTTGTCGACGAAGTAAACTATAATCTTCAAGACAAAGTCACGGTAATATTTATAAAAAAATTACCGTGACATAGTCAAACCGAGGCAGCTGATGATAATTGTCACCATCTTATAAATTTCAGGAATATTTTCCTGATATTCAATTGAGTGATGAGAACCGTTTCATCAGAATGTTCTCGGAAATTGCTCATAAGACTTTGGATTTAGTTGCTAAATGGCAAGGTAAGCCACGTTTGAATAGGAAATAAATGTTACACACATATTAAAAGTTGCGTGAGACGTACTACCTAATTGATTATATTCTGTTTTACTTAAGTACTTACTTACTCATTTAATTGTTTGACTAGGATCTTGACTAGTTTCAAGCCATGCTAGGGGCTCATATTCATGAGCAGCATTCCGCGTCCGCTTGAATCTAGTCAAGTTCCTCGTCAAACAGTTACGTGAGTAAGCCGAAAATATAATAATTAGTTTCAAAAATAATTTGCTAAATTCTAGGTCTGGGTTTTACACATGGACTTTTGAACACGGATAATATGAGCCTCCTAGGTTTAACTGTCGACTTTGGTCCTTTTGGCTTCGTGGACTCTTACGATGGAGGTTTTGTTTCCAACTGTTCTGATGGAGAAGGGAGATATGCGCTGGCCAAACAACCTGACGTGAGCCGACTTAACAACGTGATCTTCGTTATTTTCTTCAATCTATACGTTCTAAGACTGTCTCCTGTCACTTAGGTGGTGGTATGGAATATAGGGCAGCTTGCTAACGCTTTAAAACCACTTCTGACTTCATCGCAACAAGTTCATATGTCGCATATCCTGAAAACTTTGGACACTTATTGCAAAAATAAAATACTGTTAGTACATAAGTCAATTTTTCTTCACAAAAGCTAGGTCCACAAAACTATTTCTTACTAAGTATGTATAAAAATTTTACAAAAAATCTGTGTTCATAGATGTATAAGTATTCATTATTAAAATTAGGGGTAGATCATACAATGACCAATGACCTGATATGCTTCGCCGCCAGAGAAACATTCCTCATGAAGATAGGTTTGAAGGAAGAACAATGGGGTGACGAGCAGTTAGTGGAGAAGCTTTTGGATATGATGCAGCAGACAGGAGCTGACTTCACAGCCACTTTTAGGCAGCTTGCTGAGGTAAATTAAAAATACCTACCTAACTAGACTAAATAATTGTGCTACATAACATTTAGTTCTATTAAATATAGTTGGAACCAAGTGAGATGGTGAGCGAAATCAAGCTTGAAGAAAAATGGTCGCTGAAGCGTCTATCATCTCATGCTTCGTGGGGCTGCTGGCTGGATCAGTACCGTGAGAGACTGGTCAAGGAAGCTGGTAAGAAATGTTGCATTTTTATGTCCACGCAAGTTATTAAATACCTGGTTAATCATCTTTTTGCGTGGTATAGGTGTTTTGCCAGTAAATAGTCGTGATTGTGGAGTAGCTGCAGTTGATGCCAGCTCTTCAGGCTTGTTCGAAGACGAGAGGCGTCGTCGCATGTTGAACGTTAATCCCGTGTACGTTCCAAGGAACTGGCTGCTCCATGAGGCTATTGTTGATGCTGAGCAAGACGATTATCGAAAGGTAAACCTAAAATCTTTGTAATCAAATTATTACCTCTTATTTTATTAAGATGCCTAACATGTGCCTTTACATATTTTCAGGTTCGCTTTCTACTGGAGGTTCTAAGAAATCCATTCGAAGTGCAGCCTGAAGCAGAAAAACGTGGATTTTCAGCACAACCACCGCAGTGGGCGTATGCTCTAAAGATTAGCTGCTCCAGTTAAATATTCATGTCTTAAATAAATATTTATTTGTTTTGATACTAATTTTGTTTTTGTTTTATCATCCTGATTCCATCACGACGCTGTAATTTGATAGATCTGCGCACATTCAGAATCCTGTATTTAATCTGTTTCGTGAAATATGGGGCCTAAACGGCTCATTAAAGTATGACCAATATTTTATTTATCAGATACCGATCTGCAATAGAAATTAAAAAATAAAATGTCACGATGACACAGCAGTTGACATTGACAGCTGTTGCGAGCTGTACGATAGCGTTGAAAAATCAACCTTATTACGTACTCAGAAAGTGCAAATTATCGAGTTTTTCAGAAATCATCAAAACATTGCGAATAAAAACATTCATGTCGTGAGGTCGGAGAAAATAATTACTATATAGATTAATTTCGTCATTAATGAAGCGATAAAGATAATAAGCAACATATTCTCTTAAAAATTGCTCAATGAAGCGAGCGTTCTGTGTGTTGGCGGCTCTTAGAACTGAACAGAAGCAAAGTGTACTTGCCAAGATGCTACCAATAACCAATTTCAAGGAATGGAAGTTCCGTAGCACTCCTAACTACGCCGCTTTACCAATAGATGAGAACCCTGAGTATAATGTGCCGATGGCTGTGAAAGATGCAGTGTTTTCTAAGGTAATACTGTTGTATAATATTTCATCATTGTTGTGTTCATTGCTATCTAAATTGATTGCTAGATTTTCTAGTGTATATTGTAGTTCTATAATCTTATAATTAAATTCCTTGTTTTAAAAATCATATTGTAAGTATTATGCCTATAAATTATATGGCTATAACTTTGAGCCACCGTGAAAGAAGTGTTGATGAATGCAACACTAATTATTAATTGTTTTGATTTATTTACAAGAACTATGTTGATGGTGTATCCTACAGATAGAGTGAGGTTCAGAATGTATTTATGGAGTAAAATATTAATGAAATATTATAATCAATACTATATAGATCTCAGATCTTGTATATATATAAAAAGAAGTTCTGTTATTTACACTATTTATAAAGAAGCACCTAATTTGATTTGGATTTAAATTGGTGGGGAGGTCGCTTAGAACCAAGAGACGGACATAGGATACTTTTTCCAATAATCTTTTTGAATTTAAGATTTCTTTTTATGTTGCTTGTTTATTAAGGAAAGCCATTGGCGTATCATCATTAAAGTATCATGTTACAATCAATCGAAGCCGTGGCTGAATAAAACCTTACAAAAGGTATTTACTTAATTATGATACAACCTACAGCACTATCCATAGATAGATTAAGATGTAAAAAGATCTAAATAGTCACTTAGTTCTTCATAATATTTACAGGTCCCAACAGAGCCTCTAGTCGGGACATTACATCTGGTATGTGCATCAGATGATGCACTCACAGACCTGTTGGACCTGCACCCCATTGTAGCAGAGACTACAGAATTCATCAACTTTGTTGCTGGTGCTTATTTGCCTGAGGGAGGACTTACTGTTTCACATAGGTATTTTTAACAAAAACTTTTCTGTTATCCCTAGACAATGAATAAGTATTTTAAGGTCTTTATTGACCTCCTTTATTATTTATGTTTGTCAATGTACGGAAATGCAAGGAAATCTGGATAGACACAGGTATTTGTGCATTTTTTAGGTATTTAACCTATCAGTTTCTATGTAAATTATTACTTCTTATATTTCTAAATGAACTAAAATTCGCGTGTTACTCACGTGAGTATACTGAGAAAAGCTCTACTAGTTTCGAACTACAGAGGGGTTTGTCCTACTGTAACCCACGATTTTTAATTAACTTAATGTGTCTCACTATAGTTATTATAAAAACGTCTGATATTTCTCTTTGAAATGTCCCCTTATTAGTTTAGCATATAAATATCTTAAAAGATGTTCTAATGTGACAAACAAACTGTGTTTAAGATAGCAAAATGTAATATTACTAAAATTGCACTTTAATATTAAACTGTCAAACACCAAGCGATCACTGGTGACCGCAACCTATTGTTCTGTAGGATCTGTATATCTACTTATATATCCGATGCGCTATACAATGTCGAGTATATGAATATGTGTATTTAATATATGTGCCAGTCGGCTTCCAACAGTCAGTCGTTTCACTTGTCTCCACAATAGTATCCCAGTCACTACAGTTCTATAATTGTGTCTAGAATGACGGTACTCAACGAGTTAAACTGTCAAACACCAAGCGGTCACCGGTGACCGTAACCTATTGTTCTATAATTGTGTCTACAAAACCGGTACTCGACGAGTTAAAGTAATAAATCAATGTAAGACAATTTGTTTCCAGGTATGGAGGTTACCAGTTTGGACATTGGGCAGACCAGCTGGGTGATGGTAGAGCTCACATACTCGGGGAATATGTGAACAGGTGTTTAATTTAAATAAATTGTTTAGCATAGCAGCATTGCTAATCTGTAAATTAAACAATGCTATTAAACAGGCTGGTGCTGAAAATCAGCCCTATCAGCTGAGGTCCGGGCTTTTGTGCTGCCACGGACCACAATATTCTTTTTATATTTATTGTATTGTTGCCTGCATGTGTGTCGTGGCGTAGTAAACGATTTATCTTTCTTTCTAAAACATGTCTAGTCATTTTTATTTGTTTAATAACTAAGGTTAATCTTTGTTCTCGTATGAGAAGAGAATGTCTATTATTATGAATTTACTTTTCAGTTACATTATCCTTAATACAGTACAGTATAATCTCAACTTTATGTTTTTTAAATAAAGTTGAAATTCTTTAAATTTGCAGGCGTATGTAGCTATACAACCGTATCGATATTATGTGAATTATTTACGAATAATTTGATTAACGCTTAACACTTGATTCATTTGATTTTCGTCCACAGTAAAGGTGAATCCTGGCAGCCACAACTGAAAGGTTCTGGTGAGACGCCATATTCCCGCTTTGGTGATGGTCGCGCAGTCCTACGGTCTTCTATCAGGGAGATGATCGCATCTGAAGCTTGCTTCTACCTCGGCATACCCACCACCAGGGCCGCCGCTTTGGTAGGTAAGGTAGCTATTGTGTATTTAAATAATATTTTTTTTAAAACTAAAAATAATTAGACTTGATGGCATAGAAATAGTATAAGGAAGTTAGATAAGATTAAAAAGGCCAGCGAGGATGTACATGGGCGGCTCCGGTAGCTTACCGGCACTACCTACTAGCAGGTAATCCATTTGCTCATTTGCCAACCAACTCATAATAATATCTAGTCTTCCTCAGTGCACAATCTATAGAAATAAAAATAAACTTCCATTCGTTAGTCTCGCTCAGACTCGAGAACGGCTGAACCGATTTGGTTAGTTTTGTTAGAGGGAAGGATTAAAAAAAAACAGTTTACCGGGTCAGCCAGTATTATTTTAAAATAGGATAGGATAGGATAGGATCAAATATACTTATTGATCTTTCTTTCTTTGCATTCCAGTGAGTGACGATCACAAAGTTTGGCGCGACAAGACATACAGTGGTCGCGCGAAACAGGAGCGGGCCGCCATTGTGATGCGTCTCGCCAACGCTTGGTATCGCATTGGATCGCTAGAGATTTTGCTCAAGCGAAAAGAACCACATACGCTGAAGTTGTTGACCGATTTTATAATTAAAGTGAGTTTTTTTTATATTTTATTTGTGTGGGAAGCATAATTTGATTACTAAACTGTACAGCGACATTGTTTATGATTCCTTGTCTTAGCTTGAAATTAGTCGAGCGTCTTCCTCGAATCAGTTGCGTTTAGCAAGTAGTATTATTTTCTTCTCATCTTATAACATCTTCTGATTCACTTTGTTGCGGGAACCAAGACAGTTATTAATGTCCCTGGGACGCGCCGGACTTTAGTGTTCCGGTGTTTTCATGGTTGTATCTACTGTAGATGCTTGCTTACAGGAGTTGCAGCGGTCTTGGGAGGTTGCGGCGGGCTTGTCCCATTAAAAAAAAGTAGTATTATTTGAGTAACGGAATAGCAAAAGCGCTTGATTATAAGTACCTAAATAATGTATTAGAATGTTTTGTGAATTTTTACTTCGGAAAATCAGAAGCTATCATAATTTATATGAGTATTTTCAGTGTAGAATTATAATCCTTTTTCATTTGCAGCATCATTTCCCTGAAATTGTGAATGCTGAAGGTGACAAATATGTGAATTTTTATAAAGAAGTGGCTCATAGGAACCTTGATATGGTGGCGACTTGGCAAGGTACGTATATTTTAGTACAGTTTTGCCCACCCTAGAATAATCAATTTTTAATCAAGGTCTTGCATCTAGAAATGTTGAAGGATATTTCGTAATGTCGATTATAACGCGAAGTCTAGCAATAAGTTTGTCCAATTTCTAATGAGTATCATAAAAAAATTTCATAAATATGACTACTGTTATTCCATTTCTATTTAAAATTAAATAATCTATTTTTTTAGGCCTAGGCTTCACTCACGGCGTGTTGAACACAGATAATGTGAGCCTACTAGGTGTGACCATAGACTATGGTCCCTACGGGTTCATAGACCACTACTACCACCATTATGTGCCCAACACTTCCGATGACATGGGCCGGTATGCCTTCAATAAACAACCGGGGGTAAGATAATATAATTATATACATGACATACATACATACATAACTTCACGCCTATCTCCCATGGGGGTAGGGAACGCCAATTACTACGATTCCTACATACCTCTTTCGCTTCATTAACAGTCATCAATCTTTTCATGCACGCTCGTCGGTTAAGAGTACTTTTAATTTGGCCCTTCTTTAATATATTGCCAATCTGGTCACTATATATCCGTCTAGGGCGTCGTCTACCGTCGGCCCCATTCATATACTTGATACTATAATACATATATGATGAATGTCTTAAAACTTGCAGGCACATGTAGATTATAGTATATATATATCTATCGTATTTTATGCCATGTCGTGGGGACAGAGTAAAATATATATATTGGTCACCACTTCTATTCTTCCTACGGGTGACTGAGCTGACTAAGGCTCTAGATAGACAGACCGCATTTGAACTGCAAATCAACCGCAAATTGCAGTTCGGATACATTTTGAATGCTGTTGATACGACTGCAATCGGATTGCACGTTTGGTTGGCAACCATTTGGTCACGACTGCAATAGAACTGCAAACGGACTGTACGTTTGGTCGGCAACCGTTTGGTCACGACTGCAATAGAACTGCAATCGGACTGCACATTTGGTTGCAACCGTTTGGTCACGACTGAACTGCAATCAGACTGCTTGTTTGGTTGGCAACCGTTTGGTCACGACTGCAATAGAACTGCAATCGGACTGCACATTTGGTTTGCAGTTCAATTGTAGTCCTATCAGCTGCATACAAACCACAATTTACATAATTGACAGAGCCACAGCGTTCTCTGATAAATTCGAATCATTCGAGCTGTGATCTCTAAACCGCCTAAGAAGCACGGAGATTAGAGAACCCTTCTTATTTAGGTTTGCTCTCTCTAGGTTCATGTTCCAGCAGTGCACTGCTACGGGATGTTGATGGGTGTCTATTTTTTATTTTGACTACTTTGTTAGCCGTTAAATATATGCATTTCTGCCTAACTTTTCGGTATCAAATGTTATGAGATCTCTATTTCGTAGGTCATAAGATCGATTAGTGTTGATCAATCTATTTTTTTTCTTTCTAGATTCTTCTATGGAACTTGGAGAAATTGGCTGAAGCTATGGAACCAATTTTAACAGCTGAGCAGAAACAAGAAATAGATCGCGTGGAAGCTACTCTAGAGAGTTATGTCAAAACTAAAGTATTGTAAGTTATTCTTATCATATTAATTCAATTAAAATTTTGATGTGTAAA